AGCTATTTGTAATAATGCAGTATTTTTACCCATTATAGGTTCTTCGAATGGGCATCAACACAATCCTATCTTCTTGTGAGAAGAAAGGATTCAGATCTGTTGCTCTTCCCATCCTCGGTGCTGGGATGGCCCTGCAATTTCCTGTCAGTGAGGTGGTGAGGGCTTTAAAGGAGGAAGTTCATGTATTTCAAGAGGAGCAGGTGGGCATCACACCACTCCTGATCCACATCGTCATTCACCCCGATGACGAGGAGTCATACAAGGTAATGTCAAAGCACTTTTCCTTAAATATTGGCTCCTAACCATTAGTGTGCTGAGTGTTGAAAAACACTTTGGAAAAGTAAAGTTACGTTCCATATCAATATTTGTTTCATTTTACTTTGTAATGAATCGTTTTTGCTTCACTCTATTACATGAACTACACAAGATAATAATAATTACTTTTTTCATCTGCGTTTCCATCTGATGAGTTTTTGCAAGGATTGCTATGGATGTTGATACTTTGTTGTCTTTGCAGGCATTTGATGTTTTCCAAAATGACAATTTCACTCAACATGTTCACCAAAAGGTCCACGATCTAGGTGAGTATAGAATACTGAGAAAGAATGAAAAATAATAATACCCAAAGTGCTGGAGTAATGCATCTAAATTTACTAAATTAACAGCCTGAGGGCAATAGCTCAAACTCAAATTATTCAGACAGTCCAATATTTCATTATCCTTCCTAATGATTTCCTTTTATTAATTACCAGATACTTCTTCCAGTAAACCCCTTTGGCTCTAACACTAGTTTTTCATTTAGAAGTGTGTTTTTTGTGTGTTTTTTGTAAGTAAAACTATAAACCATCTACTGCTTACTGTTCAAAACCTCAAACCACAAAGAAACGTCTCTCTTTGCAGCAGCAAAAAAAAAAAAAGAGGAAAAAAACAAGAGAGAGACAAATGTACTTAACAGAGTCAACTTTCTCCTGTAGAGTCAACAACGATGAGGTTGGTCCTGCTGGGAAAAACTGGAGCTGGGAAAAGTCACCTGGGTAACAACATTCTTGGAGAGGAGCACTTTACTTTTTATGACTCTCCAAACTCTGGGACAATGAAATGCCAAACAGAAACCAAAACAGTCAGTGGAAGAAGCATCACTCTGATCGACACCCC